TGCTGAGCGAGTCGTATTACCTGTAAGATTAGCAAACGAATCTAAAACCAGGTTTTTCCTGTAACGTAAATAAACCATATTCACCCTTTAGTTTAACTTGTGTATTCCTGATAGACTCTTTTTTGAGTTTCTTCGGATCTGCAGTCAAATTATTGTATCTCATGACCTGAATTTTTCTTTTCCGGTCTTGAAGATCAGCTTACCATGTCGTCACAGATGTTGCAATATTGCGTTTTATGGTTGAAGTTTCCTGGGGACCAATGCTTGCCGCATTCAGTGTTACACTTGATCAGAATGATGACAGGCTTGCTGTAGTTGAATGCTTGCGAGGCTTTCGGTATGCCGTTCATGTTACAGCAGTTATGGGTATGCAAACGCAAAGAGATGCATTTGTCACTTCCATTGCCAAGTTCACAAATCTCCATTGCGCAGGAGATATGAAGCAAAAGAATGTCGATGCTGTTAAAGTAAGTTTCTTCTTATGGAAATCGTTGTTCAGAATCAAAGCAGGTCTCATTTTCTGTTTTGCTTTCCTCACATCAAGGAGTAAACATAAATAGAATAAGTATTCTGAGGCATACTAACCTAATTACATCATGGTTTTTAATTTTCTGTTTACACGGTTTGTTGTTATTTGTTTCTTTAGTGTAAATCTTCTCCCTCCCTTGATGAAGAGGAGCACGCGTGACTCACCTCTTCATAACTTCATTATTATTTCTTATGCTATTCAGGCTATCATATCAATTGCCATTGAAGATGGTAACCACTTGCAAGATGCTTGGGAGCATATTTTGACTTGTCTTTCGAGAATTGAGCATTTGCAATTATTGGGTGAGGGAGCTCCAAGTGATGCATCTTATTTTGCTTCACCCGAGGCGGAGGAGAATAAAGCCTTGGGTTTTCCTAATTTGAAGAAAAAAGGTGCCCTCCAGAATCCGGTGATGATGGCTGTTGTTCGAGGGGGGTCATACGACAGCAGTGCGATTGGACCAAATGTGTCGTCTCTTGTGAGGCAGGATCAAATCGATAACTTCATTGCAAACTTGAATTTGCTTGACCAGATCGAGAGTTTTCAGTTGAATAATGTGTATGCTCATAGCCAGCGGTTGAAGACTGAAGCAATAGTAGCATTTGTCAAAGCTCTGTGCAAAGTCTCTATGTCAGAACTGCAGTCTCCTACAGATCCTCGAGTATTTAGCCTCACAAAATTAGTTGAGATCGCGTAAGTATTTTCTTCGTTTGATACTCTGTCTATAGAGCACGTTTGAATGAGAAATAGACATGTTAAATACATCTGTCTTGGCTACGGAATTGGTATTGCGTTAGCATCTTGAATAACTAATAAGATTTCAACTTCCGTATTTACATCTTTCTTTTCTTGCTGTTCAGCCACTACAACATGAACCGCATCAGGCTAGTCTGGTCACGCATATGGGGCATCCTGTCAGATTTTTTTGTATCTGTAGGCTTATCAGAGAATCTTTCCGTTGCAATATTCGTTATGGACTCACTACGACAGCTTTCTATGAAGTTCTTGGAACGTGAGGAGCTAGCTAATTACAACTTCCAGAATGAATTTCTTCGACCGTTTGTCATTGTTATGCAGAAAAGCAGTTCTGCTGAAATTAGAGAATTAATAGTTCGGTGCATTTCTCAAATGGTACTCAGTCGTGTCAGTAATGTGAAATCAGGGTGGAAAAGTGTTTTCAAGGTATATTCTATTACCCTAGCAGCCACATATATGATTGAGCTCATGTTAATAGGATCGCTGGACCCAAAATATTATGCGAAGTAGTTTATTGTTTGTGCATTTTTCTGTAAGGCATGCTGTGGTGGTCGGCATGTTTTACTAAGTAGTGCCAATCTCTTTTCAGGTTTTCACAACTGCAGCAGCTGATGAAAGAAAGAACATTGTGGTGTTGGCCTTTGAGACAATGGAAAAAATTGTCCGAGAGTATTTTTCATATATCACAGAGACGGAGGCAACAACTTTTACTGATTGTGTTAGATGTCTTATAACTTTCACTAACAGCAAGTTTACCAACGATGTTAGCCTGAATGCTATCGCGTTTCTACGATTTTGTGCACTAAAACTTGCAGACGGAGGCCTTGTGTGGAATGAAAGAGGTAGGTCTAGCAGTCCCAGTACTCCAGTAATAGATGACGATGCACCAAATATCCATAATTTTATGGAAGTAGATGAGAACATATCATATTGGGTTCCTTTGCTCACAGGTAATCTGTTATATTTTTAATCTGTGAATATTACCTCAATTTAAACGCATCACGGATATTCTGGGCACCTTAAAGTTTTCGAGTTGCTACTATAAGATACTTATTCAGTTGATGTTTCGTCCAACTTAGTTGATATTTGATTTACTGGAAAGTTAGGAAACGACATGTCCCTGCATACTAATCTAATTTCTTTGATTTTATTACAGGATTGTCTAAACTAACTTCTGATTCCAGATTAGCAATTCGTAAAAGCTCCTTGGAAGTGCTCTTTAATATTTTAAAGGATCATGGCCATCTCTTTTCACGAACGTTCTGGATCGGCGTTTTCAGTTCTGTTATCTATCCTATATTTAACAGTGTGTGGGGAGAGAAAGATCTACTTTCTAAAGATGAACTGTGTTCATCGCCATCCACATATTGTCCACATTCTAATGGGGTTTCTTGGGATTCTGAGACTTCAGCTATGGCAGCACAGTCTCTGGTGGACGTTTTTGTCAGTTATTTTACTGTGATTAGGTCTCAACTTTCAAGTGTGGTATCATTACTTGCTGGTTTTATAAGAAGTCCAGCTCAGGGTCCTACAGTAGCTGGAATCGGGGCGTTGCTACGGTTGGCAGACGAATTGGGTGGGAGGTTCTCAGAAGACGAGTGGAAGGAGATATTTTTGGCTGTGAAAGAAGCTGCTTCATTGACCTTGTCTAGCTTCATGAAGATACTGAGAACCATAGATGACGTTCAAGATGAGGAAACATTGTCTGATCAGGACTTTAGTAATGAAGATAACGTGGACGAGGACAGCCTTCAAACTATGTCGTATGTTGTTTCAAGAACAAAGAGTCACATAACCGTCCAATTACAAGTTATTCAGGTAATGTACAAAAATGTTGTACTGTTGCAATGAGTTGCCAAGCTTTGACTCCGTGCGGAAATGAATCTAAACATGTTGTGTATGCTCTACTTTCCCTTGCTACAGAATTAATGATCTCATGCCCTCTCACACTACTCTATTTTTATCCTGCTTTCAGGTAGTGACCGATCTCTACCGAGTCCATCAGCAGTCACTGTTGGCATCTCATGTCACAGTTATACTGGAGATACTCTCATCGATCACATCACACGCCCACCAGCTAAATTCTGATTTGATACTGCAGAAGAAAGTAAGGAGGGCATGCTCTATCCTGGAGCTCTCGGAACCTCCCATGCTTCATTTCGAAAACGACACCCACCAGAACTACCTGGAAGTTCTTCAAGACCTACTAACATACAATCCAGGAGTGTCCGTGGAGCTAAGTATAGAGTCTCAACTGATTACAGTGTGTGTAAAAATTCTGAAGATGTACCTGAAGTGCACACTGTTTGAGGGTGCAGAGTTGGAAGAAACCAGGCAGCCTCAAAACTGGATTCTTCCCATGGGAGCGGCAGCGAAGGAAGCAGCAGCAGCTAGGTCTCCGCTAGTGGTTGCTGTGTTGAAGGCACTTAGGGGTCTGAAAAGAGATTCATTCAAGAAGTATGCACCAACTTTTTTCCAGTTGTTGGTGGAGCTTGTGCGAAGTGAGCACAGCTCCTCGCAAGTCCCCCAAGTCTTAAGCACTGTGTTCCATACGTGTATGGGTCCAATGATGGGTGAATAGAATAGGATGGTTATACCTGCCGTTGCATTTTGACACTGGAGCACCTGAAGGAAAGTTTGCGAGCAGAGCACAAATCTGTCATTTCTTTTCTTCTTTTTTTCTTGTTTTTGTATTGGAGCATTACAGGTTTTGAGTGGTAATTGTTTAATGTTATAGAAGCTAAGAATAGGATGATGAGATTCCAGGATCATTACATTAACTCTGCACTGCCTATATTCTCTCTTCCAGTCGTGATTGTAAATGCAGAACTCCATAAGCATAATAATAACTTCCGAGAAAGGCTTGGGGAGGATATTACTATTATATATTGTTGGTGATGTACATATGATTCTGGTAAGAAGAAAATAAGCGACGAACTTGTATTCACGGTCATCGATGAAGATCATACAACAAGAGAAGCGAATCATTGTTATCATCTACTACTAAGTACTAACTAATAAGAAGAAACTCTAAAAAAATGGAGGCTATGATGTCCTTTAAGGGGAAGTAGAGTGCAGTGAGTGAGGTAGCGCATTCTTCCATCTTGCTCAGACCGTGGAGGCTCGAGTTTTCTTTTTTTTTTTGGTCAAAAAAAAAAAGAAAACTCGAGCCTCCACGGTCTGAGCAAGATGGAAGAATGCGCTCGCAAAACATATATGTACACACTCGCATCCTCTTTCACGCCCCACATTCTGTTTGATGGCATTGCCCTGCACTAATAACCTATCATCTATCACTTGTGAGGTATGAAAACAGATGAGGTCATTGCAAAACATATATATATATATATAAGAAGAATCATTAAAAACCTGACATGGATGAGATCGGAAACATGTAGAAAGAAAGCCAATGCGTCAATAAAAAAAAACCTTGAAAGTGTAATCCTCCGTGGTGGGGAGGAAGAGCTACGAAGCCCATAATCGACATGATTGGTTCCAGCTCCTCATGTGTCATAACTGGCTTGAAGGTTGTTGTGTCTTGTGTGCCAGAAGGCCAATTTCGTCATCATTCAAATTGAGCTATGTTTTGCTTTGTTTCTTGCTTTCGCCCTTTGTTATTTCTTTTATTCACAAAACTGCCATTAATTGTCCTATGTGGCCTCCTTTCTCCAGATAAGGACGAGGGTCCTCTCTGTCTTAAGTCAATTTCCCTTTGCTCTCTCTCTCTCTCTTACTCTCTCCAATGGCTAGTGGTGGTTGGAGAAGAATCTTGACCTTGGTCGTGAGTGTTATTGTCCTTGCTCTATGCATCCTTTCTGCTGCTGCGGACGACGGAGAAGCGATCGTCTCGAGATTCCAGGAGTATCTCCGAATCGAGACGGTTCAGCCCAAACCGGATTACTACAAAGCCCTTGACTTCATCAACTCTCAGGCGAAATCCCTCTCCCTCGAATCTCAGACGATAGAGTTCGTAAAGGGAAAGCCGCTTATCCTCCTAAAGTGGGTTGGCTCCGACCCAGCTCTACCTGCGATTCTCCTAAACTCCCACACAGATGTCGTTCCCTTCGAGGAATCCAAGTGGACCCACCACCCACTCCACGCTCATATGGACAAGCAGGGAGACATTTACGCCAGAGGTTCGCAGGACATGAAGTGCGTTGGGATGCAGTACCTCGAGGCCATACGCAAGCTCCAAGCTTCTGGCTTCCACCCAATCCGATCTGTCTATCTCTCCTTCGTCCCTGATGAAGAGATCGGCGGCCACGATGGAGCTGAGAAGTTCGCCGAATCCAACCTCTTCAAGAGCTTGAACATCGGAATCGCGCTAGACGAAGGTAAAGTAAAAGTCAAACACTCTTTTTTCTTTTTTTATGTTAACTGTCTTATGCACAGGGCAAAATGACATTTTGTTCTTGGATTGGGGTGATGAATTGAGTCAGGTCTGCCATCGCCTACTGAGAGTTACAGAGTATTCTATGGAGAGAGGAGTCCGTGGTGGCTGGTGATTAAGGCTAAAGGAGCCCCTGGCCACGGTGCCAAGCTCTATGACAACTCTGCTATGGAGAATCTCCTCAAAAGCCTTGAGAGTATTCGCAGATTCAGAGCTTCCCAATTCGATCTGCTCAAAGCTGGTGGCGTTGCTGAAGGCGATGTCGTCTCTGTTAACTGTAACTTCCTCAAGGCTGGCACCCCCTCTCCAACTGTAACTCCCTACTCTCCATTTTTGAACTTGATAGATAAAAGTTGATGTCTTTATTATGAATTCATCTGAAAGTTTGGCTCTTTATTCTCTCCCCAAGGGTTTCGTGATGAATCTGCAACCATCTGAAGCAGAAGCTGGTTTCGACATTAGGATCCCACCCACTTTTGATTCTGAAGCTCTTGAAAGACGTTTGGTGGAGGAATGGGCACCCGCTGCACGCAACATGTCCTTTGAGGTAATTTCTCTCTTTCCTCTTCAAGCCTGTCGGATGTCTCTCTCTTTACATGCACACAATTTGTAAGATGACCTTTTTTCCGAAAACTTTTTTAACTAATATAAGTGTTAGCTGGGGCAGTTTAAGCAGAAGCTTTCGGGGGAACCGCTCCTTACAGCAGCAGATGATTCAACTCCGTGGTGGAGGCTCTTGGAAAATGCTGTCAAGGAAGCCGGAGGTAGGACTAGCAAGCCTGAGATTTTCCCTGCATCTACAGATGCTCGCTACTTCCGCAAGGCTGGCGTGCCTGCCTTTGGCTTCTCTCCCATTTCAAACACCCCGAGTTTGCTTCATGACCACAACGAGGTGCTTATTAGAGTATTGGTGGATGATTGGTTCAAACATTATTCAATTCCCCTAACGCAGGTGGTTTTTTGCAGTATTTGGGTAAAGCTGAGTACTTGAAGGGCATTGACGTGTATGTTTCGGTAATCAAAGCTTATGCATCATATGAAAGCAAGAGTGGTGGTTCACGAGATGAGTTATAAGGGAGGGGAGGGTCCTCCTTTATGAGTTGTTGCATGACACAACAACATTTGAGTGAGCTTCAAGCCTTGCTGTAACAAACGTGTAAGTTATATTGTGCTGCTGTTTTTATATTGTGACAAACGTGTACCATCAGCCAATAAGATCTGAACCCATGGATCAAACAATTTGCAAATTCCTCATTGGTTATATTTTGCTGCTGTTTTCTGTTTTTTTTTTCCCAACCGCAAATGGAACGAACAGGTAGGGAAAACTTATGTTTGTTTACAAAACTAATGATCGTTTAATCGTTACTAAACGGGCCCATTAGTATGAGAAAAGCGTTCCAAGTCTGAGCCCAATAGGAAATCCAAAAACGAACCAAGTCTGAGCCCAATAAGAGATCCATGTAAATCCTAATCTCTTGAATCAACAATATACCCAACGGACTCCAATAGGGAACAACCAGCTAGAGGTGGAGCATTGCCTGATCAATCCAAACGACAAGGAGAGGTCTCGTGTCAGGTTTTCCGCTTGGTAGAGACTAAAAGGTTGTTGTCAAAGTTTACTGTGAGCAGTGGTATGGTCCGGTTTTAGAGATGGCGATCAGCTCTGGCTTTGCTTCTACACCTACCACAGCCACCTTCAGTCGTAGCCGGAACCGGAGAGTTGTACTTGCTACCACTAGTTTTCACGGCAATGATCCCGTTAGTTGGCTTAACTTGTTTGTTCAAATATGTGCACATCCGTTCAGTGACTGCAAGGTAGTTCAGGTTTGCATTCAGCAAATTACTGGAGATAAGGTGATTAAGATTGTGGACAAGAAAGCAAAGAGTGTTTTCAGTAGCAAGGTTGTTTAAGCCAGGCCTATCACATCTACCTTTCTCTTGTCCAGCGATTCTGAGCTAAAGGTAATAGTAATCACCACCACTGTTTCGTTCTTGCAACTTATGGTCATTTTTCTTATTATATATCCCTTTTAATCTGCGCAGGTGGTAAAAATGGGAAGAGAGACTGCTCTCTCTCAGATGTATAACCATCATCAGTAATCTTCTTATAATTTTCTTTATAGGATGTGTGCATGTAAGTCAAATTACAATGATCTCATATATGATCTTGTAACAGTTGTTTATCTATTAATACATATCAGTACAATTTAGCCTTTGTTGGTTCTACAGTTACTAGGAAGGATCCAGACTACGTAAACCATATTTCTACGGAGCTTTGTAGCTTTTGCATCTCGTGGCTCAGCCCTGTCAACAACGAGGGATTCACGCACACGACTGTCAGTTTGGGAAGAATTCCAAGGAATTTAGATGACAGGAAAATTAGAAAGCCTAACCGTGAGATTGCATGTTAGCCACTAAGCATTGTTCCTGAGGCTCATGTTTATGCTTTTCCTCATTGTTCTTCCTGCAATGCCCTTCTGCATCATTGCTACAAACTCTCCGTAATCAATCCTTCCATCCTGAAACAAAGAAGAATAAAATGATCCTAATATTATCTCCAAGCCAGTGGATGGATATGTTTAGGTATCTTATCTCACATTGTCTTGGTCGACTTCCTTGATCACATCTTCTAGAAAGGCATCGCTCATCCCCTGCTCAGCACACGCTTGCTGTAGCTCGTCAATTGTGATGTAGCCGCTCCCATCTTTGTCAAAATACCTGAAGGCTGAGAGGAGATGTTCCTCACGCTCTAATTTGTTCAGATGGATTGTTGCAGCAATGAATTCACCATAGTCAATGGTCCCACTCTTGTCAATATCTGCCTGGTAAAATCACAGAGCTTTAATATACTGATTTCAAGCAGTTAAACAGATCAGGTTAGAGTGTGCTTACAGCCTCCATAAGGTCACGGATCTCAGTGTCCTTGAGGGTAGAACCATATCTTCGCAACCCAGCTTTTAGCTCGTCAAATGTAATCGCTCCACTATTATCCGTGTCCATTGCTTTGAACATTTCCTTTAGTCCGGCTATTTCTTCTTGAGAGAGACTCTCAGCTATTACCTGAAATCGCAGCCCAAGGCATTTATGGAAAGGTCTTCATATAAAACAGGGAAAAGGCTTGCGTCTAGGTCCTTACTCTTAGAGCCATCTGCTTTAGTTTATTCATGGCAGAGAACTGCTTAAGACGAGAAAGCACCGCAGGATCTAGTGCTCTGTCTGGCGCAACTCCATTTTCACAAATCCAAGGATGCCCTGCAAAAGTCTGGCTGGGTAAGAAAGCAGATAGGAACCGAAACAAGTAGGAACTGGTTAGACATACTCAATACTTGATGAGCTGTGAGACGCTCAGAGGGGCGGGAACATAGCATGCCGCGGATCAAGTCTTTTGCAGAGTCAGATATTAGGGGCCAAGGGTCAGAGTCGAAGTCAATGTGTCCCTTGAGCACTGCATCAAATATCCCTTGCTGTGTTTCTGGTGATGAAAAGAAAAAGAGAATGTTTTACTACCTTGGAAGCCTTATCACAGTTGTTTCATTTGGGTACGTACCTGCCCAGAAGGGAGGGACTCCGCTCACCAATATGTACAGTATGACCCCTGCGGTCCACACATCAGCCTCTGGTCCATAGTGCTTGAGAAGAACCTCAGGAGCAACGTAATAAGGACTTCCAACCACATCCTCGAATATTTGACCTGAAAGTTGCAGATGAGCAAAATTTGAAAATTCTATGACTTGGCTGAAAAGATGAATTCACCTGGTTTGAAGAACACGGAAAGCCCAAAATCAATGGCTTTGAGAGAGAAGTCATCGTCCTTATTCACCAACAAGAAATTTTCAGGCTTTAGATCTCTATGCATGACACCAAGCGAATGGCAAGCCTCAACAACACCAACAATGATCTTAATCAGCTCAGCTGCTTTTCTCTCGCTGTAGTGCCCTCTCTGGATGATTCTATCAAAAAGTTCCCCACCTGAGCAGAGCTCCATGACGATGTGAACATACAATGGATCTTCGTAAGCGCCTTTAATGCTGACAATGTTCTTGTAACCAGCCAGGTGGTGCATGATCTGAATTTCCCTGCGCACGTCCTCCACATCTTCCTTTGAAATCAACTTTCGTTTTGTTATAGACTTGCACGCGTATTCACGCCCTGTTGAGATCTCTCTGCACATGTAAGTGGTCCCAAACTGTCCTTGGCCTAGCTTGTGTCCCAAGGAGTAGAGATCTCGGATGCTTGGGGTCTTTTGACCAAGAACGAAACAGGCTTGGTTCCCACCGCTGTGCTTCATTGTGGCTTCTTTCTCTTTTGTTTTGACAGTTAGTGTGCTGAAACAAACCACGGAAAGACTTGCATGTTTTAGATATATGGTAACTGAAAAGATAACATGTAATCATAATTCAATCCCTTACCAACTTAGTTCACCTCCCCCTCACAAATCAATTTGCCATCAGAGGAAAACAGAGCAAGGCACATAGCACGATCTGAAAATTTTTTTTTTTTAAAAATGGATAAAAATCGCATTTGGCATGGCAGAGATTGACAGAAACAGAGGAAAGATGAATGTTAAATTACCAGGCAAAGAGGATAGATACATAGATAGGGTGGAAGAAATTCAGTCAGATTGTATTCTTTGTTGAACATGGTTTTGCCATCCTGACTAATTAATAACAGAAAGAGAGTCTTTGATTAATAGTCATCATCAACAGATCTACATATATAATGATGTCTTTTATTAGAATATTCTAAAAATGCAGGGGACTCTGCTTCCTCCACAGGTCTCTTTTTCTAGACCTGCTTTTATAGTATCTAAATCCAGAGTCCAGATCCGTTGGCCATTTAGTGCGTGCATATCACATGATGATCCTATCACCCTCTTCACCTCCAATGGGAACAAACCTCTTCATAGTTGACCTGACTCCTTGGTCGTTAAGGCCCATAATCTCCTCTCCACGACCAAGGCTATAAGAATATGGCATCAACATGGATCATTTAGTACGTGTAGATGGTTGAAGATATAATACACACTAGCAATATCACCCAAGAGAAGTGGGAAGAAGAAAGAGTGCAATAGAAGGATTTTGCATTCGTGTAAGACAACCGACAAAACAATCAGTTATAAAACGACTGAAATGTGTTTTAAGTCTGCTCCTTTAAAGGGGTTCCCTTAACTTGTAAAACCTATGACACAGGTCACCAGAGATTTCTAGCTGTTAAATTTAACCCCCTGTCTACAACCTCATCCTTTAATTATACAACCAAAAATGCAAATAGCTGCTTGAAGAAGGCTGCCTGCGGTCCAAATGATCTTCCTTTGTTTTCATCTGCGTGTCAATCTGTCAGCATGGAACTACAACAAATGGATAGGGATCTAGAAGATGCTTAGGGTTGGAGAAGTACATGTGTTTGCATCAGGATTTTCGAATTCCAAGCTGCGTCACAGAATCTGAGCCTACCAGGAATACACGTCTAGTAGTCTGGATTCGGAACACCACTATTCCTTTATATGCTGTTCGGGGCACGCCATCCTACAAAATGGATGGGTACACAAAAGTGACGCTAGACCAATTTTTTAAGAGATTATACTGATTCGTCTAAAAAGGATCAATTTACCTTCCATTCTTCAAATATGCCAAACTCCCCTGCTATGCGTTCAAACTCTGCTTGGTCTTTATACCGGATACGAACATCACCCTTTATATTTTGAGCCTTTAAGACAAGGTCAGAACCTTGAATTGGTTGTGCTTGTCTCACTAAGCCAGAAAAGTACTTGGTATAGTTTCCCTTTGTGGACATGAGAGAACAAGTTAAAATACAAGATTTGTCCACTAAAAAAAAGATATGAATGATATGGTTCTACCTCTGTCAGGTATCCCAGGTCCATCGCGTTCCAGTCAACCTTCAAGTGAGACAAGCACAACCAATTCAAGGTTCTGACCTTGTCATGCAACAAAGAGGAGTAAAGAACACACTTACCTTCACATCATTTAGCTTTATAGGTTCCAGATACTGACTGAAAAACTGTCCCAAACTAGACCCCTGCAAAATGAAAATGACGAGGTTATATGAATAAGGGAGAAACCTACTCCTGACTGTCTACGTCTATGTCTCAAGAAATTATAGGACAAAGCTGCTATAATAAATTTCTCACAGAAAAGTCAAAAGTCATGTGGTAATACCAGGCTGGTTCACAGAAATAAAAAAAAATAAAAAAAATCAGACAAGTGCAACTATAACAATGGAAATTCATAAGTCTCAGGTACTAACATGTTCACCAAAATTGTATGTTCGGCAGACTTCTGGTCGAATAAATTGGCGACCTTTATGGTTTTCCTTCAATCTCAGCCAATCATCCCAGTAAGTATATATATTGTTAAGGAAAGTCTTAGATGCGTCAAACCACAGATAGCCATTGAAATTGATAAACGAATATAAGGATATGCCTTTGGCCATTTTGGTGATAGCTCATCCCAAGTCGATCTCTTTAGCATCCACCCCAGGCCAGGAAAAAAATCTGATCGGTAAAGTGCATCTGCAGAAGATTATTTTAGCTTAGCATGGGCAAAATATAACGAGGTATTGGAAGACAGGGAAACGAAATAACGCGGCAAAAAGAAGAAGAATCTTACAAGGATCATGCACAAACTGCTTCTGCCCATTATCATTCCATGATGAAGCCGCCATAATGGTTCTAATACATGTTTGCACTCAGATAAGAATGACAAATGGTACCAAAAAAAAGATTTATATACTCAGCGGGAACTTAAATGCCATAAGAGTCTAGCTTCAATAGGTAACTTACTCATCCCTATCCATGAGACTAGCTGCAGCCTCAAAGTAATCAAAGAAGTCTGGAGCAATTTCCATATCATCTGTTAAAGAGACAGACAACCCCTTAGGAAATACTGGCCACACGCACAACACCAAGTTACAGTAAGGATGGAAAGACTCACCTTCTAGTATAATCACTCGGCTGAATTTATGTTTGTAAAACAACTGGTCTAGTGCCCACTTGTAGTGACCTGGATTAAAAAAAAAAGGTATTAGAGTCATGCAGCTGGAGGGACGCAGAGAAAGGAGAAACCAGTCCTTACGTGCAATTTTGTAGTAAGCAATAAGTTCGCCAGGTCTTTCGGTGATCACTGGTTCAAAATCTAAGTGCTAAAAAGGGGGAAAGAGCCATCATTTCACTTATCTACATGAGAAAATTAGGAGAAACATCACAGTAGATTACCTGCATGTACGTTAGCTGATTATAGCTCAAAGACTTGGTCTTGACGGCTTGATTAGATCCATCCTGAGATATAAAGAGAGGATATTTTGAAGCAACGGGACTTTGATATCTGTACAAAGAAAAAGAAATAAATCATTTTAGACAGAACAGTTGGAGTAAAGATTAGAAATAAAAGAGGAGTTTAGTAACCAACTTTAAAACAGTTTGAACAGTCCGTTCAAGATAGTCAGCACGACTGCAGGCCATGATCACTACAGCAGCCAGAGGCACCTGCTAAATAGAATAAGAAGGAGGTTTATAGATAGGAAGTGAGAGCAACGAAACTAAGAAGAAAAGCTAAACAGACCTGTCCACCTTCAGTGAGCTTTGCTATCCCTTTTCCTGAGAGAAGAAAACAAGGAGAATTACTAGCAAAATTCATAAAGAGAGAGGGTTTTAGTGTTGATAGAAACGAACTTTCAAAGGTGTGGATAATATCCTTAAGTTGCACGAGTTGTTGGTCCTGACGGTTGTTCAAATCTACAAGATACCCCGAGAAAGGTGAAGACTTGTAAAATACTGTTTTTGGTAAGAAGGGGGGATTGAGTCCGAAAAAGATTACCTTCGAGAGCGAGAATACGGGACTGTTTAATGCTAACTTGATCAATCAGGGATCGCAGTTGACTAGTACAATGGTTCTCTGACTCGAGCTGAGCAGATACAGAAAAAAGGAAAGATTCTCCATCAGAACTAAAACATGTATTGTTAATATTCCAGAGCAGGGAAGAGACAAGTCCCCCCCCCCCCCAAGTAATTAATGAGGATTGGTTATAAATAACGAACATACAGCGGAACTGAGGCGATCAGCATACTGTGATTGCGTCTGGAAAAGCCTCATCTATAGAGTGTAAACAAAAAGACACACTTTTTTACTTTAGATCGCTTAGTAGAATTACAGATTAATGATTAAAAGTCTATGAGATCCAGGAGATTAAAGATTCGGACCTGGATGTAAATGAACATGAAAGCTGCCGGTATGAGAAGAAATCTCAAGTCACAAGGAACCCTCGCCATTTCTCTTACGAAGATGAGGAGGGAGAATCTATCATCAATCAAGCGATGCGATCTTTTGGAGGAGGAGGAGGTTGCCGCCGGGGAAGCTCAGCTTTCCTACTTGTTTGTGTATTTGTTTGTTTGGAAACGGTGTCGTTTGAGAGTTTGTTAAAAATTGGAAACTGGTGTCGTTTTCCTGTAATGATTTTTAATTAACGCTGTCGTGTCGGAGTCCACCAAGTCGACACGCAATTCATCCAATTATCATCATCTTCGACTTTTCTTCTTCCATCCTGTCGTCCATCTCATCTTTGCTATCTCCTTTGCTTGATTCAGATTCATCTCTCTCCCCTTGGTGAAAGACGAAAGCTTTCCATTGATCAGATGGGTTTAGCCAAGCAACAGGCTTCTAGCTCCTCCTCTTCTTGTTCCATTAAAATGCCACCTTCTCCTCCTCTTCCTAGGGAGGACACACCTCTTCTCGGCAAGGGTCCTCCTCTCTCCAGCCAGTTCAAGACCTTCGCCAACGTCTTCATTGCTGTCGTCGGCGCTGGTGTTCTTGGTCTTCCTTACGCCTTCAAGCGCACCGGCTGGCTCATGGGTGTCCTCCTTCTCGTCTCCGTCTCTGTTTTGACCCATCACTGTATGATGCTTCTCGTTTATACCCGCCGCAAGCTTGACTCTTTCAACGGCGGTTTCTCCAAGATCGGCTCTTTCGGTGACCTTGGCTTTGCCGTCTGCGGCTCCCTTGGGAGGCTCGTCGTTGACCTCTTTATAATTTTGTCTCAAGCTGGCTTTTGTGTCGGATATCTTATCTTCATCGGCACTACTCTATCTAATCTCTTCGATCCTGATTCCCCCACCAGTCTCAGGCATCAGATGACACGCCTCGGCTCTGATTTCCTGGGAGTCTCCTCTAAGAGTCTCTACATCTGGGGATGCTTTCCCTTCCAGCTTGGCCTTAACTCCATCAAGACCCTCACTCACTTGGCTCCTCTTAGTATCTTCGCCGACGTTGTTGATCTTGCAGCTATGGCTGTGGTCATTGTTGAGGATTCCATGATTATTCTCAAGCAAAGGCCTGACGTGGTTGCCTTTGGTGGTATGTCACTCTTCTTCTATGGCATGGGCGTTGCTGTTTATTCCTTTGAAGGTGTTGGAATGGTCTTGCCTCTTGAATCTGAGATGAAAGACAAGGACAAGTTTGGCAAAGTCTTGGCACTCGGCATGGGGTTCATCTCTATGATATACATAGCCTTTGGTTTCTTAGGTTACTTGGCATTTGGTGAGGACACAATGGACATCATCACCGGTAACTTGGGGGCAGGACTTATCAGCACTATTGTTCAGCTTGGACTCTGCATCAACCTTTTCTTCACCTTCCCCTTGATGATGAACCCAGTATTTGAAATAGTGGAGAGGCGGTTCTCGGGTGGGATGTACTCTGCGTGGCTAAGATGGCTGCTAGTCTTGATTGTGACTTTGGTGGCTCTCTTTGTGCCAAATTTTACAGATTTTTTGTCATTGGTGGGGAGCAGCACTTGCTGCATCTTAGGGTTTGTGTTACCTGCTTTGTTTCATTTGCTGGTGTTTAAGGAAGAGATGGGGTGGAAGCAATGGAGCCTGGATATGGCGATAGTGGGACTGGGCGTAGTTCTTGCTGTGTCGGGAACTTGGAGTTCCCTGAGTGAGATCTTCTCGGTCAAAGTGTAATGTGTGAGAGGTTTTTCACTTTGTGTTCAGTTACGTGTGAAGTGTGCGATTATAAATGTATGGGGTTGTGGTATAAGAGTATCGGATCTGTGATTGTATTTGTATGTTGATGATGATTGGAATAAAAAGACATGAGCTCTGTTCTCTGTATTATGTAGACACATGCACAAATTACAAATGTAAAAGTTTTAGGATTTGTCTGATATAGTAAATGGCAAGTTACAAGCAGAGTAAAGTAATCAGACAGGGTCAAGTAAAGCTTTGATTTTGTATGACAAAGTGTTGAGTGTGCTCCTTCCAGGAACCGTCTTGATCAAGATGCTTCTCGTAGAAACAGACCTCACCAAGGGACTTGATGGTGAGAGCAGAGATGCTTCTGGTCCCATAACTCCCCTGTATTAAGAAGGTGCTATGAGTGAGACATAGAAAGAGTAAACAAAAATCTTAAAAGAAGGAAGGGTGTTACAGCTGGTCGAGGAATGTTGACGAAGATAGAGCTGAGATGGTATTCCGTTTCAGGTGGGTAAACGTGAGGCAGCTCGGGTTCTTGGTCCTTGACAGTATCAATCATCACTTCTTCCATCATAGTCTTCACGGGGAACTCACCACCTTGGTTTAGGGTCAGAAGCTGACTGAAACCGTCTTTCAACCTGAGACACTGCAGAGAGAGAGCAACTGAGCTGAGGAACTGGAAAAGAAGGAAAGAAAGGGAGGAAGGAAGGTACCTTGGGCCAAGGAGAGTCGAGGTTGGCGTTGGAAAGGACATGGATCCCGGGAGAGACTAGGGTCACGAGCTTTTCACCATCGCGTGGCCGGTTGGTAATGTAAATCATGGATTTGGAGAAGACGTGAGCGACAACGAGGTTGAAGCCGTTGTAGAGAGAAACCTCCTTTTCGATCTCCTCTGCAAACTCGACAGGGCTCTTTTGGCTCTGCTCTTACGCATGTAAATAAAACAGTTGTCTCACATTTGATGGGAAACAAAATGTAAGTAGTAGAGAGAGAGAGAGATGACCTGCAAGAAACGAAGAGGGAGATGTCCACGGGATTTAGCATCGGGGATGGAGGAGGTCTCTCTGAAATTGGTGAGGAAAGCGATACGTCCATGCCTGTTGCAACCGAGCCACGTGCCGCCACCAACGAGGTCTCTACCTCCAAGCGTCTCTCCGTCTTCCCACCAACGCAGCGCCTCCGTCTCCCTTTTTTACACAAACAAAACAAAGATTCTTTTATTAATAATCATCATCAAAAGGAGGAAACTTTGAATGGATACTCCTTCAATCGATCAACCTGTAGTGATATTCATCTCTATTCAGAAAGAGAAGAAAAGGGTAAAGCGGATGCGATTGCCATAAGAACACTCCTATGCACATTCTTCTCTTTCTCTCTGTTCTTTTCTAAAAGGGGAAGGCTTAAGAAAAGAAAGAAAGAAAAAAAAGAAGTCAAAGTCGTCTTATACACTTAAGAAGTGCGTGTGGTTCTTCTTACCATGAAACGGCAGCACGTGCACGTTTCAAAAACCGCTCGACTGATTGTGCCTATTTTAAGAAAGTTTGGATTCCCACAGTCACCGGCGAGCAGATCCAGTATCCAGATGATGATGATGATGATGTTATCGAGATGCTTCCTTTCTCTACTCCGAGCCGTCTTATGTCTGGTACCTTCTTCTTCTTCTATCTATCTCTAGCTAGATTGTTCTCTTCTCGTTGATGTATATGCTATTATCTCTGGAATTTCTGCCCGGGGAGGGGATCTGATAACAGTAGCGATTGGTTTATGGTTTTTTGTTTTATTGGGTGAGACATTTGCAGGTATTGCTAAATCATGTCGTCGGTGGAGTCATTTTTGAGTCACAAGCAGCAGTGTAATGATTAATGATTCATCTTTGCTTTCCTTTCTACTCTTTATTCTTCTTCTGTCTTAATTATGATGCTTTCCTTTGCTTGTGCAGCCACCGAGAACTTCAAGCTTACCGTCCCTTGCAAGATTGTCCTGGATGTACTACTACTACTAGTGCTGCACTTCACTACGATCCAGATCTCAAAGTATTTCTTCTTTCTCTTATAATCTTTTTTCTTTTTTGGCTTCCTCCTTTTAATCCTCTTTTTAATTATCTCAGGATGTGAACATTGTTGCCACCTACAGTGACCATCACGGTAATTTACGCCTTGGTACTGTCAAAATGGGAGATCTTTCTTCTTCTTGGCTCTTCGACAATCCTCTTCTTCGCCCCAACAACAAACCTACTTCTCAGGTAATCACTTCATTACCAGAACCAGAGATCCCATGGAGCTACAATTATATTACCACTCTCCGATGAATACAGTTTCTCTTTACTCTTGTTGCTGACATTTCCTTTTTAGCTAGAGATGCCGCGGGATTCATTTCAAAATGATTCTAGAATGGAAGAGAGTGCAAGTTATTCTACAACTAATCAGTCTGCTGAAACCGACAACCAGTTCCCACACGTTGAGTTTACAAGCCCAGCAAAACTCAAGCGTCAGGTGATCTCTCTTGCCATATATTATATATACCCTTCTTTTTTTACTGGAATTGTAACATTTCTGTATACCTTTTCAGAGTTTACGTCTGGAAAGGAGAGCTCAACGGACTCTGGAGCTGATCCAACAAGATCAGGAAACTGATAACCAGATGCAAGAAGCAGCCATTCACAAGTCTATGACCTTTGAAAACTCTGTCGTTGGCAAATACAGTATATGGAGAAGAGACTATGAGAGCCCCAACGCTGATGCTATCTTGAGGCTTATGAGAGACCAGATCATTATGGCTAAAGCATATGCTCATATCGCCAAATCCAAAAATGCAACCAATCTCTACGCTTTCTTGATGCAGCAGAGTGGAGAAAACCAACGTGTTCTGGGAAAAGCAACATCTGATGCTGACCTTCCTTCAAGGTACTTGTTTTTCATTATGAATTTGGTGAACTAGCAATCTTTGTTGATCTTTATTTTTCTGTCCCTTTTGATCACTAGAGCCCTTGAACAAGCAAAAGCCATGGGCCATGCTCTCTCTCTTGCAAAAGACGAGTTATATGACTGCCATGAACTTGCAAAGAAGTTTAGGGCCATGCTTCAATCCACTGAACGCAATGTAGATGGACTGAAGAAAAAGGGCACCTTCTTAATTCAGCTCGCCGCCAAGACATTTCCCAAGCCATTGCATTGCCTGAGTCTGCAGCTAGCGGCAGACTATTTTCTTCTTGGTTACAATGAAGAGGATGCAGTCAAAAAGAATGCCAAGTTTGAAGATCCTTCTCTCTATCACTATGCCATCTTTTCAGATAACGTCCTGGCAACATCAGTCGTAGTCAACTCCACTGTCCTGAATGCAAAGGAACCGGAGAAGCATGTGTTCCATATAGTAACAGACAAATTGAATTTTGCTGCAATGAAGATGTGGTTTCGCGTCAATGCTCCTGCTGATGCCACGATTCAAGTTGAGAACATCAATGATTTTAAGTGGCTCAACTCCTCTTACTGCTCTGTTCTACGGCAGCTTGAATCCGCAAGGCTTAAAGAATACTATTTCAAAGCAAATCAACTTTCGTCTATCTCTGCTGGCGCAGACAATCTCAAGTATCGTAACCCAAAGTATCTATCGATGCTGAATCATCTGAGATTCTACCTTCCTGAGGTATATCCGAAGCTGGACAAGATCCTGTTTCTTGACGATGACATTGTGGTGCAAAAGGACTTGGCACCTCTATGGGAAGTAGACATGCAAGGAAAAGTGAATGGCGCGGTGGAGACGTGTAAAGAAAGCTTCCACAGATTTGACAAGTACCTCAACTTCTCTAATCCAAAGATCTCAGAGAATTTCGATGCGGGGGCTTGCGGGTGGGCATTTGGCATGAACATGTTTGACCTGAGGGAGTGGAGGAAAAAGAACATCACTGGGATATATCATTACTGGCAAGACCTGGTAAGGCTCATCACTGAATGAGATTACAAAAGACAATTTAGTTAGCTTTCGTGAAAAAAGAAAAAGTTAGCTTTCGTGTGACAGAAAACTGACTCACTCTAATATTAATAATGTATGGTGTGGATACAAACAACAGAATGAGGATAGAACGCTGTGGAAGCTGGGTTCGTTGCCACCGGGGTTAATCACATTCTACAACCTGACATATGCAATGGAGCGGAGCTGGCACGTGCTGGGGCTAGGCTATGACCCAGCGCTCAACCAGACAGCTATAGAAAATGCAGCAGTTGTGCATTACAATGGGAACTACAAGCCATGGCTGGGTTTGGCGTTCGCCAAGTACAAACCTTACTGGTCCAAGTATGTTGAGTACGATAACCCTTATCTCCGTCTATGCAACATCAATGAATGACTGAAGAGGTTGGAGTTTGGAGGAGTAGATGAATGAAGCCACACACCCGAGGAGACAAGAGCATAATACATATTTTTTGTTGTTTTGTATACCATAGGAACTAATCAAGAGAGGGCGACGATAAATAAGATCAATCTAGCTCTTGTTACTTTTAGTATTAAGTCTCTGCTTCTTCTTTTCTGAAGCGTAAAAACATTTTTTTCAGTGACAAATTGCAATCATGGACAAAATATAGTGAGACCAGTATTATAATAGCTTAGTGTACGAAAGCGCATCCCCCTATAAGAATCATCAATCATGTGCTGCTGCTATATAGATCAGTGTAATAGTTTTCATCAGAAGGCAAGAATACATGCGGATCAAAGGAGAGCATTATGGATAGGCGTGAAGAAGGCTTTGCTACGGTGGATAGTGATGCGTGAACAGTAGATATATATGTTTGATGGGGTCAATCTTGATGCATCCTAGAGCAACCCCAAGGGTTACTCATTTTTCCATAAAATTGATATAAACTCAAATGAATTGTCGTGTGAGACTTTTTCACAGTCAGTAGGATCTCCCCTTAGTGCTGAAGGACTGGCACTCTGGTCAGCTATCAGGAAATGTCAAGACGTGGGACTCCAAAAAGTTAAGTTCGAATCTGATTCTTCTCAACTAGTAGAAGCGCTGAACTCGCAGTCGGTCCCCCCAGAGCTGTATGGAGTTATCGCGGATATTCACCATGTCTCTGTTTCCTTTGAGCTTTGTTCCTTTAATTGGATCCCCCGATCCAGGAATGTTGAAGCCGATTTGTTGGCTAAACATGCTTTATTTTCTGGCAATTTTATGTTCAACTCTTTAGTACCTTAAGTTTGAAGTAATGAAATTTGTGTTACAAAAAAAAAAAAAAACTCAAATGAATTGATATTTTCTAGTGGTTTCTTCATTTTTTTCTCAAAAAGAATACTTCAAATGTATTCTCTTATTAATATTTTTATTAATTTTGATGATGCTTATTTTTCTAAATTTACAAAATTTATGCAAATATAATTTTAAAAAGTTTTTTCTTTACTTAATATGTTTTACCTCAAAATGAGAAAGCATTGGAAATGGTCTTAGAATAACTTCAAATGAAAATTTTCAAACAAAATATTTAATTATTTGTATGATTGTATACATAATATTTGTATTTTATTAAAAAGATTTCAAATCATAAAATATTTTGAGAAGTGATTCTCATGAATTTGAGGTTCTCAAACCAACAGTTAATTAAAATGTTTAATTTATATGTTTTGAAAACATTGTTCTTGTAAGAACTTTCCAATAATCATGTTCTTCGTTCCTCGCTTGTTTTCATGACTACTACATATATATATAGATAAAGATTCGTTATCTTGAATGCGCGCAATCAGATGATTTAGTAATACGTGCTAGCTGGGGAAGATGCTCCCACTAGTTAGGGGCTCTCTCTCAATAGATAGAAGATAAGATTCCTGCTAAAAGTCTTATTTAGCTCCTGAGACAGCTATCACACGTCGCTTGGGGATTATCGATCCCATTGTATTTGTATATACTACTCAGACACATGTACTCATACTACCAAGTCTGTAAAGATGATTGAGTTTTAAATTTCACAATTATCAACAAAATTAAAAGGAAGGCTTCTGACAATTCTGGTCTGTAAGAAAGGAGCATTTGAATTAATGATCTCATCTTTAAAGTATTGATTATTATATGTGACACTTCAAAAAGAAGGCTTGATTATTGTGAGGGTGTTGACTTTCCCTTTAATTATTGAAGAGCCTTGTGATGTCATCCAATTATAACACTTTCTTCTTTTCTTTGTACACCTTAACGTAATAATATTATTTTGGTTAAGTGTATATATAGAACCTTAGATATTTGTGGTGAGTTCATTAATGAATTTGGAATACGATTTGTATGCAGAAAAATAGATCTTTGAGAAATATATTTAGATTGAAGATTCCTTATAGTTGCAGTGTACAAATAAAAATAGAAGAACAACCAACCATATGTATTAGCTATACTATAAAACTAGTGGTCCGTCCGCGCTGCGCGCGGGTTATCGGATATTTGTATTATTTAAAAATTTTAAATGATTTCTTGGTTTGTAATGTAATATTTTTATTGTGTTTTTTTATGAAAATGGTCTATTATGATATCAATGTGATGGCATTAGGGTTAAATGATGGACATTTGGAAATTATTTTAAAATTCTTGAGTCATATATGT